AGAATGGCCAGTATCAAAAGACAAGAAATAAGTTGGGTGATGATATGGAGAAAAAGGAACCCCTGTGCACTGTTGGTAGGAATGTAAATTTGTGCACCAATTTGGAAAACAGTATAGATGTTCTTCAAAAAATTAAAAATATAAATATTATATCCAATAATTGAACTACTCAGTATTTACCCCCAAAAATGAAAACATTAAGTCAAAAGATATATTCACCACTACATGTATTGCAGAATTATTTTTTTATAAATTTTATTATGTTAGTCACCATACAGTACATCATTAGTTTTTAATGTTGTGTTATTTACAATAGCCAAGATATGGAAGCAATCTGAGTCCATTGATAGATGATTGGATACAGAAAATGTAGTGTCTATATATATATATATATATTCAGTCATCTTATTCAGTCATAAAAAAGGATGAGATCTTACCATTTGCAAAGCAGGGAGGGACCTAAAATGTATTATGCTAAGTGAAAAAATCAGACAAAGATAAATACCATATGATTTTACTCATTTGTGGAATCTTAAAAAAAAATGAAATAAACAAATGAAAAACAGAATCATTCTTGTTAGAGAACAAGTCGATGGTTGCCGGTGGGGGGATGGGCAAAATGGGTGAGGATGCTGGGAGATATAACCTTCCAGTTATGGAATGAATACATCACAGGACTAAAAGGTACAGTATAAGGAATGTAGTCAATGATATTGTAATAGTGTTGTATGGTGACAGATGGTAGCTATACTTGTGGTGAGCATAACATAATGTACATACTCATGAAATCACTGTCTTACACACCTGAAACTAATGTAACATTGATTGTCAACTCACTTGAATAGAAAAAAAAATTCAAAAATAAGTCTTGGAAGAACTGTAAGTGCATATTTCTAAGTGAAACAAAGCCAGTCTGAAAAAAAAAATAGTGTATGATTCCCTCTATATGGCATTGAGGGAAAGACATACCTATAGAGACAGTAAAATCCAAGGGTAATAATGAAAGGATGAATCTGTAGAGTGCAAGGGATTTTTAGGGCAGTGGAACTGATCTGTATGGTACCTAAAAGATTGATACATGATATTTTGCATTTGTGAAAAGCCATACAATGTGCAACACAAAAAATGAACACTAATACAAACTATGTACTGTAGTTAGTAAGCATGTATCAATATTGATTCATTAGTCATAGCAAACATACCACACTAATACAAGATGCTAATAAGCAGAGAAACTGCTGGTGGAGAGGAGATATATGGAAATTCTGAGTAATTTCTGCTCATTTTTTCAGTAAACCTAAAACTTTTCTAAAAATGAAGTCTATTAATTTAAAAAGGAAGGACTTTTACCATACCCAAATAAATAGGGTTAAAGAGGTAGATTCCAGATAGAGGCATGAATAAGAGTAAGCTAAGGTGAATTCAAATTGTAGAATGCTGCAATTAGAGAACTAGAGTAGAGCATACATAGAGGAATATCCTGAGATAACAAAGCTAGAAAAGTAACTTCACATGGAACCAAAGAGCTTATATTTTATTTTGGAGACATTAAGTAGCCACTAAAGTCCTAAAATTGGAGTGGAAAAGCAAATGAAATGGCATAGGAGAACCAACCAGAAGACAGGGTACCAAACAAGTATGATAGGATTGGTACCTGACTAGAAATGGCAAGATGTTTCAGAGGTCAATATGACTTGGTAATCAAATGAGTATGGGATTTTAGGAGAGTTAGAGTATTACTGAAGTTTGTAGCCTCAATAGCTAGGAAGAGGTTGTGCCATTCACTTACATAAAAGTTATAAGAGTTGCTGGAATACCAAGATGCTTTAGAAATAATGCTTATGGGCGCCTGGGTGGCTCAGTCGTTAAGCGTCTGCCTTCGGCTCAGGTCATGATCCCAGGGTCCTGGGATCGAGTCCCACATCGGGTTCCCTCCTTGGCGGGAAGCCTGCTCTCCCTCTCCCACTCCCGCTGCTTGTGTTCCTGCTCTCGCTGTCTCTGTCTCTGTCAAATAAATAAATAAAATCTTTAAAAAAAAATTCTTAAAAAAAAGAAAAAAAGAAATAATGCTTACAGTAGCTAGCATGATGACCTTGGGGTTAACAGGAAAGAGAGACCCATTTTGGTGATTTTAAAAAATAATTTAATTACCATACTATTAAAAGTCTATACATTTCAGGCATGTTACTAAATGAGCCAGATTGTTAGAGTGTGGTGTAGTTTTGATGGCTCTTAATTTAATGTTTTCAACTTTGGTAAAAGGTTGACTTACATAATTCAGTATCTGCATATGCTTTGCATGTGCAGCTCATGTGGGGTCACTGTTAAACTAGCCAGTGATGTAAATATTAGCTTAGAGTCTTAGGGTATTATAGTCAATTGACAGTTATTGCAGGTCATGATCTGAAAGTGTAATTTTAAGTCCTTCAGGGTCTTTTGAAATGTTTGATGAATTGTATTTTAAAAACTGTCAATTGGCTGTTAAGTTCTGTTTGTAATCTGTGTTTAGTTTGCACGTCAATTGGACTTTAAGTAGGCATATGACTTGATATGGCCAGTTGGTGTCTGAATGATGCTGAAAATCTTTGGAGAATGAGGACAGATTATTACACTGTTAAGGGAAATGTAAATTGAACAAAGGCATATTTAAGCATTTGTGTGGTAAAGGGAGGCACTGATGGCTACTTTTCATCTGCAGTTTGACCAATTTTTCTACTAAAACTCTGAGTGCGCAAAGAAGAATTGAGATCTATAATTATCTTGGGTAAATGAGAGCCTTATATAGAAACCTATTTACGTCACTGATGGTTACTATTATGTTGAGCATAAAGTGAAGGTTTAGGGAAAAGATAAACAGTGATTAATTTAATATGTGTTATGTAATATCATTATAGCAAAGTCATATGATGAGTATAGTATAAAAGTGCATATACATCAAAGTAATTTTGGAAGGCTAACTGAAAAACTTGTAGTTTAAAAGGGGATGCAGAGGCCATTTTTTAATTCAGTGTTTACACTGTATTGAGGCTTCTCTAATAAATTAATAATCACAGAAGGAAATTTCACAACTGAAAAGTTGGGTTTGACAGATTGTTCCTTAAAAGGATTTAGAGGTAGTGAGCCATAAGTGAATTGATAGGGGGAAAGTTTAAAATATTTTATTAATATTCTATGGGGATTTGCAGTCATAGGAAGTAGACTATGTTCTCCTTCTTGGTTTCCATGCAGAATTTAAGTTTCTCACCTTTATTAAAATTAAACCCTTGTGTAATTCTATTAACAGTACATTTTATGGTTGTTTTTATCACGAATATTGGTGACTGTTGTGTTATTTATATAGGAGCTCCTTCAACTGAGATTGTCACTTTAGTGTTGCATGAGACCTGTTAAGTGTGTTTATTATATTGCACAATTTTGATGCTTTTGTTGTTGTTGTTGTTGTTGTTGTTGTTAATGGCTTTAATTCAACCATCATTGTTGAGCCCAGGTGACAGACCTTAAGTCAACGAATAGCATTTTTTTCTAGCCTGCTTTTTGCACTAAAAGTATGTGTTTTGAAAGTTTGTATTACTGTTACTGTATACAGGGGGACTCTGAATATACTTCCTATTGATTCATTGTTGTTCACTAGCTGTTGTGATTTTCGAAGCAAGAAAAAATGAGGGGACGGCAAAGAGGATAAAAGGATATTATTAATAGTGGATAATTGTATGTGGGATCAACATAAACACTATCCATTGTAGAGTTCTATAATATGTAATAATTTAGGAAAATTATAGGCAAGGATGTTTCAGAACATCTGTTAAATATTACTGATTTCTGGGCTTCTGTCCAAATGAAGGCAAGATTACTGTTGAGGCAATAGTTTAAAATATATTGTAAAGTACTATGGTTTACTTATCATAGTGATGTTAATATCTGTAATATTAAGCTAACCCTCCCTAGCTTCTGCTCAAAGGGGATTTCCTCACAAATCCCAACCTCATAAGGGGTAAGTAGACAACAATTTTAATTTGTTACATTTTTCATGATGACATATCTGCGGCTACCACAAGTGTAATGTAAATAATACTTGAAAGATATTAATTAAGAAATTTAAAATGTGTGAAAACTATTTCACCTTGCATACGAAAACAAACAGAATTCTAGATACTACTCAATGATGTTGATATTTGTTATTAAACTGAAAATAGTTTGAATATTTTGATAGGGGAGTTACTCCTTATTGATAAAGGATTCAAATTAGAGCCACAGAATTCATCTTAGAGATTATAACTAAAAGGGTGGACCATATTCCAAGGGGCACCTGGGTGGCTTAGTTGGTTAAGCATCAGACTCTTGGTTTTGGTTCATGTAGTGATCTCGAGGACATGAGATTGAGCCCTGCATTGGGCTCCGCACTCAGTGCAGAGTCTGCTTCAGATTCTCTCTCCCTCTGCTTCTGCCCTCACTCGCACACTCTCTCTCTAAACTAAATAAATAAAATATATTTTTTTTAAAAAGAACATATTCCAAGTCTTATTTTCCTTTTCTTTTTTTTCCAAGTCTTATTTTCTTTAATAATTCTGAAGCTTAGGGAATCTACATCCCGTCTTAACAGGACCACTGTTAAGTTAGATGCTACTAACACATCAGTATATTATAATGATTAAAAAGAAAGTTACTTATTAAACAAAATGATGTTTTGCTTAAAGATTTTTATTTATTTTTATGGGTAAAACAAATTACATCTTATAAATATTTTGAGAGTGAGAGCAAGAACAAGGAATAGATAAAAGTTTATGGATATAGGAATATTTTTAAAAAGTATAAAGCAATATTAAATCCTAGGTACCATTAATTGCCCAAAGAGATACTAGGATATAATAAAACTTGATTTAAAAAAAAAAGCCAACAAGAATGAATTCAGATAATTTTTTTTTTTACTATTTTGTAGCATCAATTTTGATGTGGTTTTCCTTTTCCAGATGTAGCAATTTAACATACACTGTCTCTTTTAGGACTGGATCTGCCATTTATGATGATGCCTCATCCCCTACTTCCAGTCAGCTTACCTCCTGCATCAGTTGCCATGGCAATGAATCAGATGAACCATCTTAATACTATTGCCAACATGGCTGCTGCAGCCCAGATTCACAGTCCACTCTCCAGAGCTGGAGCCTCTGTTATAAAGGTAAGAACTGTGATTTGGAAGAGGACACAGGTTTTAATTACATGTAAATTTTGAGAAAATATTAGCAATACCACTGAATCTTCAGTATAAACACACAGCTCATTGACTCAGTTGCTTAACATATAGTATTGATTTTATTTCTGACTAGACCTGCTAAAGTGTTTTGTTGTTGTTGTTGTTTGTTTGTTTGTTTTTATTGCATGACCACAGATCTCACCTTTAATTCTAGCTTCATGTCTTGTAATCATGAACACAGTGTGTGGGAGGCATAGCAAGACTAATGACACAGAATAGTGTTCAGAAATCATTACCATTGCTATGGTGAAATAAAGTAAACACTGTGTTCTTTTTGGTGTTTGGGAGGCAGTTCTGGGGTAGTATATACCATGCAGGACTTGTAGTCAGAAAGACCTAAGTTTTGATCCTGCCACTTTAGCTCAATAACCTTGGATATGACATTTAACCTGCATGAACTTGTTTCCTCAACTGTAAACTAAATGTTAGAGTAATAATCTATCCCACTTACTTCACTGGCTGTCCAGAGATAATGTGAGTAAGACATAGGTTAAAAACTGTGAAACATTAAGCAAATATTTATGATAATTTATAGCATTATCATTATCATCATTAGAATACTATTTTTTTTCAAAATTTCATGACCATTGGGTAATGAAACACAAATAATATTTTATAATCTGTCCTGATGTCTTCTTTTAGTTTGGCATAGTGCCTCTCTGCCCTCTCTCCAAGTATCATGTAAACTTGTTTTTTTAATATTTTTTTTCTTTTGGCAAGGAGGTGATATAAGGGTACATAGGATCAAAAGTAATAATAAGAGCAACCCATTAACTTGTCCCTTTGTTCTTTTATTTTTTCAACAAATATTATACTCTTGATGTTTACATGTTGTATTGGGCAATATGGGATATAGGTAAAGAAGACAATCCCTGACTTCCAGTACTCACAAACTGTGATATAAACAAGTACCCATTTAGTTTTCAATAACAAGACAGACTGTGATGAATGGCATAGAATATCATCACGTGTTATAGGAATTTAGAGGAGGGACTTATTATACGTAGCTTGGCAAAAAGAGGGGGAAAAAATCACAAAAAGCATTACGGTTGTTGGATTTGACCTGGACCTTGGCAATATTGATATGATTGTAATAGATGTACATGGGGGAATGTAAAAGAAAGAGGAAATGTGAAATTCTGGATTTTTTTTTTCATTTTAAATTAGCTTCTAGTTTTGGGGATTTTTAAAATAATGAGGAAAATCTGTGACCTAAACTTTGTAGGAAAGAACAAGAAAAATTGATAATTTTTTATTAAGCTCCATATGTATTTAAATGGCCATGTAGAAGTATGCTTCCCGCAAAGATTGTAGCCCTCAATAGATCAGTCTATCGTAGCTAATCAAAACTTTGTTGTTTGAATATTTGATCAGAGGCTAAACTAGGAAACAGAGTTATCTTTGAGAAAAAAATCATCCATGAACATATTTAAAAGATGGAATAAGTTTCCCATGATTTTGAAATTGGGTGACCTACTAAGTAAATGTGACCTCACACAAAATTAGAAAACTATTAAGAAAGAAACCATATTTTAAAGTACTTGCTTTGAAATGATGAAAAACCACTTTCAGTAGAGGCATGTTTATGGCTTTTCAAAAATACATTTATTTAGCTTTCTTGATGATGATTATTCAAACTGAATCAGCTACATTTTGGTTGAATGCTTGGGATATTTGGTAGCTTCACCATTATTTGGAATGAAGAGGCATTTGGGGAGGAGTTCATGACAAGCATTTGGTTATTGGTGGTGATGATGATGGAAATGGGAAGGATAATTATATTCTCCTTAAATAATCCAAATATTGTTAACATAGTAAGGCAATAAAACTATATTTTCTACTGCTGATTTATTTCATATGCAACTTTAGAAAAAGTCAGAACCTTTACAGACATAAAATTGGATATTGCTTTTTAAAAGCTGATATTAGATAACATGCTTATTTAAGTCTTAACAAATATGAAAATTAGATCTACTTTCATATAATTGTTTTGACAAAGTCAGTTGAAAACAATATATTTATTTTGAATGCTCTTTGATAAAATTTTTCTAAAGATCTATAGAAGTAGATTTCCATCAGAGGATGGTAGGGAAATGAAGAAAAAAAGTTTTATTTTGTTTTCTTTTTAAAGAGTTGATTTCCATGAATAGTGAGAGGCTTTTGAAATTGTTTCCACGTTGTGTTTGTTTTTTTGCAAAGATATTATTATATAATTGTAACTATTAGTTTTAAAAATAATTCACAGGAAATAGCATAATAAAAACTTTCTAATTAATTGCCAAATGGGCGTTAATATATTGAAATTTTTAACACTCCTTTCAAGAATAGTTATCAATATGATACTAAGCTATAAGGACAAATTTCACACTTCAGTTGATGTATATTTTAATAAAAGTTTGTTTTCAATATGCTTCTTGGTGAAGAAAACTTTCAAGTTCAATCTATTAGAATCCTACTGGCAGTGGGCAAACCTATGTAATTGAGACTTTTTCATATACTACTGTTTGGAGGCTATGGGGACTATTTAAACAAAATGTTTTCTCTATTTACATTTACAGATTTTTAAGTTTTTATTTGACTTTCAGTTAGTTAATAGACAATATAATATTAGTTTCAAATCTACAACATTGAGATTCAACACTTGCATAAAACACCCAGTGCTTATCACAGCAAGTGCACTCCTTAATCCCGATCACCTATTTAATTCATCCCTCCACCACTCTCCCATCTGGTAACCATCAGTTTGTTTTCCATAGTTAAGAGTCTGTTTCTTGGTTTGCCTTGCTCTCTTTTTCCGATATGCTTATTTGTATTGTTTCTTAAATTCCATATATGAGTGAAATCATATGTTTTTTGTCTTTCTCCAAATGACATTTCACTTAGCATAATACTCTCTGCTCCATCCATGTCATTGCAAATGACAAGATACCATCTTTTTTATGGCAGAATAATATAGCACTCTCTATATATGTACCACTTATTTATCCATTCATCAGCTGATGGACACTTGGGCTCTTTCCATAATTTGGCTATTGTAGATAATGCTTCTATAAACACCGGGGTACAGGTATCCCTTTGAATTAGTATTTTTGTATTCCTTGGGTAAATACTTGGTAGTGCAATTGCTGGATTGTAGGGTGGTTCTATTTTTAACTTTTTGAGGCATCTCCATACTGTTTTCTAGAGTGGCTGCACCAGTTTGCATCCTACCAACAGCACAAGAGTGTTCTCCTTCCTCCACATGCTCACCAACGCCTGTTGTTTCTTGTGTTGTTGATTTTAGCCTTGCTGACAGGTGTGAGGAGATATCTCATTGTACTTTTGATTTGCATTTCCCTGGTGACTGATGTTGAACATTTTTTCATGTTTCTGTTAGCAATTTGTATGTGTTCTTTGGAAAAATGGCTATTCATGTCTTCTGTCTATATTTAATTGGATTATTCCCTTTTGTGGTGTTGAGTTTTACAAGCTCTTTATATATTTTGGATACTAATCCTTTATCAGATATGTCATTTCCATATATCTTCTCCAATTCCTTAGGTTTCCTTTTAGCTCTGTTCATTGTTTCCTTCACTGTGTAGAAGTTTTTTTTTATTTTGATGTAGTTCCAATAGTTTATTTTTGCTTTTGTTTCCCTTGCCTCAGGAGCAAACCTAGAAAACCAATGTCAAAGAGGTTACTGCCTGTGTTTGCCTCTAAGATTTTAAAAGTTTTATGTCTCACATTTAGGTCTTTAATCCATTCAGAGTTTATTTTTATGTTTGGTGTAAGAAAGTAGTCCATTTCATTTTTTCCCAAGTTGTTGTCCAGTTTTCCCAACACCATTTGTTGAAGAGACTGTCTTTTTCCCATTATGTATTTTTCCCTCTTTGTCAAAGATTAATTGACCATATTATTGTAGGTTCATTTTTGTGATTTGTCTTCTGTTCCTTTGATCTGTGTATTTGTTTTTGTGCCAGTACCATACTGCTTTGATCACTACAGCTTTGTAATATCACTTGAAGTCTGGAATTGTGATGCCTCCACCTTTGCTTTTCTTTTTCAAGATTGCTTTGGCTATTCAGGGTCTTTTGGGATTCCATACAAATTTTAGTATTGTTTGTTCTAGCTCTGTGAAATCGCTGTTGGTATGTTGATAGGGATTGCATTAAATGTGTATCTTGTTTTGGATAGTATAGACATTTTAACAATATTTATTCTTCTAATCCATGAGCATGGAATGTCTTTCCACTTCTTTGGTCCTCTTCATCAATGTTTTATTGTTTTCAGAGTACAAGTCTTACACATTTTGGGTAGGTTTATTTGTAGATACCTTATGGATTTTGGTGCAATTATAGTTGGGAGTGATTCCTTAATTTCTCTTTCTGCTGCTTCTTTTTTGTTGTATAGAAATGCAAGAGATTTCTGTACATTGATTTTGTATCCTGTGACTGTACTGAATTTGTTTATCACTTCTAGCAGGATTTTTATTTTCTCTTCTTTTCTTTCTTTTTTTTTTTGTGGAGCCTTTTCAGTTTTCTACATATAGTGTCATGTCATCTGCAAATAGTGTAAGTTTTACCTCTCCCTTGCCAGGTTAGATACCTTTTATTTCTTTATGTTTTCCAATTGCTGTGGCTAGGACTTCCAGTACTGTGTTAAATAACAGTGGTGATAGTGACATCTCAGTCTTTCTACTGACCATAGAGGAGAATCTATCAGTTTCATCCCATTGAGGATGATAATATCTGTGGGTTTTCATATATGGCCTTTATTATGTTAAGGTATGTTCCTTTTTTTTTTCTTTTAAATATTTATTTCTTTAATAGAGAGGGAGCGAGAGAACATGAGAATGGGGGAAGAATCAGAGGGAGAGAATCCTCAAGCAGACTCCCCGTTGAGTGCAGAGCCCGACTCAGGGCTTGATCTCAGGACGAGTGAGATCA